CCTCCGACACTCATCCCTCTGCGACGACCATGCAGTTTCGCATCCGCCGCAGCGCCGCCTACGGCGATCGCCTAGTCCTTCTCGGCTCCACCCCCGCCCTGGGCAAGTGGGATCTAAATCGTGCAGTCCCGTGCGCCTGGACCTCGGGTGATGTTTGGGTAGCGTCTCACGTCGCCCGCCCCTTTCTTCATGCTCCATCTCGCTTTGAGTTCAAATTTGTTATCATTCAGAAGGACGGCCCCCCTATATGGGAGCCCGGCCCGAACCACATTGCCCACATCCCTGTCCATCCCGCTCTCCCCCTCGTCATATCTATCGATTGGGCACGCCCGAAAAATCTCATCATCCCCGACGAACCGAACAAGTCCCCTCTCAACGGATTCATTTCCCAGGAGGAGCCGCCTGCAACCAGTCCCCCTCCAACACCCGCCGAGAAGGGCGGTAAGCATCCCGCCGACGGTGCTGCCAATCCACTGGCAATAGCAGTCGCCAGAGTTGCTGCACATGCAGGCAACGGAGATGAAGCCTCAGAACAGCAAGAAGCTGTCCCGGTCAAGTTTCGGATAAAGTACAGACCTGACGAGGGTGAATTGGTCTACCTTTTGGGCAATATCCCCGAGCTTGGAGCTTGGAAAAAGGTGCATTCTCCGCTCATGGCCCCCGCGAAGAATGGAGATGGCATATTTGAAGTCACCATGACCATCCCGAGAGATGCAGAATATGAGGAGTTTGAGTACAAGTACTTCATAAGGCGGCCAGATGGAACTCGGCGTTGGGAGGAGGGAGAAAATCGAATTGCTAGGCCCTTTGATAAGGCCGCCCCACGGGAGAAGGATGGCGATGGGGCCGTGCTTTGGGATGATCGCTGGGAGAAAATTCGCATAGAGTTCAGTATTTATTATGCGACAAAAACCAACCAAGTCATGTATGTCACTGGAGATCCGGCTCAAATCGGGGCATGGTTCAAACCTGGACCGACTCGCATGACTCTGGGGCCTGTAGAAGTTCTAGAAACTGACGTCAAGGGCCGGAAATGGTACTTGAGTGTATGGACAGACCCAAAGCAGAAGCCCTTCTCCTACAGATACATAATCATCAATGAGAAGACGAAACAAGAACTCTGGGAACGAGAACCGAACAGACGTGGGGAATTTGAAGCGGCTGATCCTGTAGTAAACAGCGTGCGGATACTTCGTGATGTCAATTTCGTATCCGAGATGCACTTTGATCATGTTCCACCAAACATGTTCATCGGCCCATATCCACAGACACCTGCTGATGTGGATGCTATGGCTAAAGGGGGCGTAACAGGGGTGTTCAACGTGCAGACTGACGAAGATTTCAAGCACAGAGGTATTCAATGGGATGTGTTGATGGAGCGATATAAAACACACGGCATTCAAGTGGAGCGGCATCCGATTCGAGATTTTGATCGAGACTCACTGCGCCAACATCTGCACGCAGCTACCCGCCATCTGGATAAGATGCTCAAAGCAGATAGGAAAGTGTACATCCATTGCACAGCGGGGATGGGGCGTGCCCCCGCCGTAGCGGTGGCATGGCTGTGCTGGGTGGAAAAGATGGACCTGGACGACGCAGTGACTTTCGTCAAGAAGCATCGCACGGTGGCGGTGCCAAATGTGCCGGTACTAAGGGAAGCATTGAAAGAACCCTACTAGGAGGCACTGTTAATATTGCACGAAGGGTTAATAGTCGGTGGGGTAGACCTGTGTAAAATGAATACGCCGTGTCGAATTCGGGAAGCGAAGGGCGTTGAGATTTGGACTCGCGTACTCTCATGGCAGGTGGAAATCGTGACTCATCTGCCCTACTGCAGGTGGTGTATGCCTGAGGACTGCAGTCCGATAGAGCTCATATTTTGTGCGATGCGAGTCGGAATATGAAAAACCGCAGGACTGTGTGGCATGGGCGTCTCTCGAGTGCAAGGTTGCAAGGCCATCGCTCTCCTCGTGTGTGCTTGACAAGACGACTCAAACAGTATGGCAGGACGAGCAGTAAACAACAAGACCGAGACTCACAAAAAAACCCGACTCAAAACGCAGTCACTGTTGATGTAGTTTTGCACTACTGTACAGATTGTACACGATGAGCGTTGCCTTGATCCTTTGCATTGGTCACGTTTATGAACGAGACGGGTAAATTAGAATCTTCCATGCAGTAACGGGAGGTCGTTATACTGTACCTCATTGACCGGTCTATTTTAATTTAGATATTTTTATGAGGCCGCCAAAGGAACAGGAGGCGGAACAAAGGGCCAAACACTGTCTTCCAAATATTTGCATACAATGCCTGTCAGGGCGTCGGTTGTTGTCAGGAGACAGCAAGCGGGGCGGTCCGGAAGGGATTTGGTGAGTGTGGGTAAAAGGGGTGGTATGTAGAGTTCCCAAAGGGAAAAAGGGGGAGCAGTATGCTACAGGCGACCCCCTCAATTAGTGCACCCCCATGCCATGCGCATTCTTTGTGCACTATCTTCAATGTGCTTTATCTAAGGGGCTCGCTAAAAAGTAGTTTACGGGGCAACGAAATGTTCCGTTACCAGCGTCTGCCGTCGCTGACGCTTCGTGTGTTCATCATCATCATAACCCGTTCGATGTGTTTCTTTTGGGCCTTGATGTTGCATATCGTTCTTGGAGAGCAGTTGAAATCACGCTGCAAATCGACGTGCCGAGCACCCTGTGAAAGTCGCCGCAGCACCTCCTCTTTTTGCGAAAGGGTAAGGCGGGTTCTTGACGCCCTGGATGCTGGTTCCGTTGTGCTCATTGTGTGATTAGTTGTTCGAAGATGCATAAGGTTGCTGGGATCTGTAAAAGAATGGAACCCGCTCTCTAAGGACGGCGACGACCATTGTGCTCCCGTGAACATACGTGTACACCTGTACAAAGCCGTGCCAAGCTATCAGAGGGTGCATTAAAGTCCAATATGCACTAACTAAAAGTGCACTAATTAAGAGACCCCCCCTGTATTACAGTGGGGACCACGATATAAGAGCACCCCGTGCCAACCCTTCATGCTGCTCTTAATCCGAGGTTGCTACTATTCAAGAACCTCGCACAGGATGCCCATTTTACTTCTTAGAACGCTGTAACGCCTCACCAATAAGTAGTTGCTTGGACCTGTGCACAGAAGCCCTCCCTCGGAAGTGCGCGAACACGCTTCTCACTCTCCGCAACAACATCCCTACCTCTGTTATATTGCAATCATGAGCAATTGTTTCTAGCGGTAGCAATAATGCATTCAGACCAACTGATGTCGGTATAGTGGCGGTCGGTATAGTGGCGCGTTCTTCCCCAATATATGTTGTTTCGTCACTAACCTCCTCCACAGCCGCGGAGATATGGAACAGGCGGACTGTGAGCGGGGCTTCTAAGAGCGTCTTAGAGCGTCTCCACCAGTGTCGTCGTGTGTGTCGTCCAAATCAGACAGGGTCCAAATTTTCTAAGAGGCGTTTGAAATACCCCGAGAAAAGGCCTGTGTGATTAGAATTACGGTGTCTGATGGGTCTTGAGGTTATGATACCGTGCCAAGCGAATGATGCTCTTACTGCGAGGTCGGTCTTATTCAAAGTGCTCTTATATCGCGGCCCCCCCCCCCCCCCCCCCCCCCCCCCCCCTGTATTGCCCAATCTAGAATTAGCAGTTGCTGAAAATTTCTTCTCTGTATTTATCACACCCCTTCACATCCTTCGTATGATATACCGTCAATAGAAAGTAAAGAAAAATAACTTTTCACTTGAGATATCTTTCAGAGGCCGCATAATCCGGGTTGGGGATGAGTGACCATGGACTGCTACAGTAACCACGTCACGGTTTCAAGAAAATCCGAGTCAAGTTGGCCCCGGATGCAGCCAAGAATGAAACTGAAGAAGTCGTTCGAAGATATTCATTTGCCCGGTCCCTTACGTTGCTTTATTATAAAAAAACTCGGTCAGTTCGTTGCGCCAAAATACGAACAGAGGGAACTCGAAACAACCTGCGCTTTTTGTTTCATGCTAAAGAACCCAGATAATTGCATTTGCTCGAAAGAGTTGTTGAGAGATGCATGTGCAGATATGCATTGTAGATGTGAGCATCAACATGTGCCGCCGTTTGCATGTGAAAGGACAATATGAAATGCTCAACCCTTCGCCCTCTAACTTTCTTTCACGATCGCCAGTCTTCTGAGTCCCTTGTGATTCCTTCCTGACATATATGTTTGCCGACACAACTTCTTCCTAGTAGGAATTTACACTTCATTGTCCTTTCGGAGGTCGCAGGCTCAGCGCTTCTAAAAGGCTGTGAGATCACTTAGATACTGAAAAAAAGGACCAGTGCCGTTATACGGAGGCCGAAAAAAAGCGGGCTTGCTTCGACAGAAGTGCAAATCCATTAAAACTGCCATGACAGTTTCTGTCACAGTCATAGATTAAGTTCTACAGACAGGGAACGATTAATACCCTCGCAGTTACTTCTTGTGAATATTGACTGACTGTTCATGCATAGCGACTCTTGAGAAAAGGTTTGCCAAACGATTAGTTCCCTTCATATACCAGAGCGGGAGCTTTTTGTGATTTGAAAAAAACAGAAGTTACCGAAAATTCAAACGCACCATCAGTCAAGACTTGAAGTGTATAAAGGTGAACATGATTACTCTGTCTTGCTCTTGGAACATACCTTGCGGTTGCTATCTAGCCCACTTCGCAACCCACAATATGAGTGCTTTTCCTCTTCTGTTTCTTGTGGTGCTCCGTTTAGTTTCAGCCAGCACGTCCCCAGGAGTTTCTCTTCTTTCCGAGAGACCAATTAACGCAGAGGTACCGACGGCACAGTTTCTCATTGCAGATAGGTTGAACGACCTCTATCCCAACTTCAATACCAGGGGCGGCGACGATGTGAAACTCAATTTGAACCATGTGTATAACTATATTGACGGTACCAAAACAGAACCTTCTACACACTTCGCTTCGTCAGCGAAGTCGCATCCGAATCAGCACGGGAAAGAGGGAGGTGCCATTCAGTTTGAGAGTAATGGAAAACTCAAAAACAAGCACCCCTCGAATGTGCAAAAGAAACCTCCTAGAACCTCTGTATCTTCCACTTCTTCCGGTGGGCCTACAAAATGTTCCACGCAGCGACGGGTTTGTGGATCCACATGTAGAGGGGGCACAAATAAGAGATCTAGCTGCGTCGTACAAGTTGGAGTTCCCAAAATCTGCCAGAAAGACGTCAAAATCTGGTTTGCATGTGCTGAATCGAATCCTAAGATGTGCACGTACGTCGAAAAGGAACCTTCTGTCTGCACAAGAGCCAAAACACGAAGGGTGCAGTGTCCAGACGAAAAGTATTCATGTGACCGCAAAATCACAGAAAAAGTCAAGTGTCACGGAAAGAGCAGTGAGTGTGAGAGGTGGAGTTCACTGCCTTGCAAAGAGCGCACTCGCAACTCGGAGAATAATCTGTGCCGCGTTCCGTCTGACCAATGCCATGAGTGCAAGGGAAACTTTGTATATGTGAAATGCAGGAGAAGGAAATGGTTCAGGACTGCTGTACCCTGCCCATTGAACCGGACGCCCAGCCCTGCACCTTCAAACTTGAACACCAATAGTTCGCCAAATGAACCTCCTCGAAACTCTCTCCAATACTCACATGGGAAAAATTCGCACAAGAAAAACTCGTCAGGAGTTGCGGGGTCCTCTTCCCCGGTTTTCCTTCCCTTTCCTGACAAAGGAGCACAAGTGGCAAGCATCCGTTGCTTCGCATCGTTTTTTGATGAGTTTCATTGCAAAGACACTCCGTCGGACTGCCATCCGACTGACAAGTCGAAGTTCGATGCCGAGAAGTGTACTGGCCACGCCTGCGCAGCATGTTCGAAACTTGATCAGATTCAAACATCACCTAAACTTAAGGTTTGGTGTCAAGCATTCTCCACGCGGTATTGTGAGGCCGAAGCCGCGACTCCTGGATCGCTGCGACAAGCGAGTTCCGTTCTTGGAGAGCATCTGTCGGGACTTCCCAACGATTCTAGTGACAACTGGTACGAGGACAACGTGATTCCCATGAGAGTTTCAGAAGTATCCGGCCGCTGTTTCAAGGATGAATCAAAAATGGTCTACACTGTTTGCGAAAAGAAAATGCCAGGACATCAAGTTTGCGTGAAGGGATGCCGTTTAAAAAAGAACTGCAAGAAGCAGGAGCTATCTAAACTGTACAAGGGGTACTGCAAGCACTACTTGCCACGATACTGCGACAACAAGCAGAAGAAAGCATGCACGCGCACACGACTAGTCAAACAGACTTGCTCGAAACCCGGAAAGAAGACCTGCAACGGAAAAGTGACGGAATCTTACGTTTGTTGGAAACCAAAGACGGTGAAGAAGCCTTGCAAACAGCAGGCTTGCCGTGGGATTTTCCAGTGCGCGAAACAGCGGTTCTTCAAGAAATGCTCCAGCATATCGACGAAGAAATATGTCTGTGGCATGAAAGAAGAAAAACAAGCAGCTTCATGTACTCAATCGACCGGATCGAACTGTACCCCAAAGTACTGCACGGTGAGGTCGTGTACCAGCAGCGCCCATTAAGAGTCGCGACGTTTTTTCGGTCACTTGTAGGAACATCAGCTTCCCAGACTCTCTGCGATGTCGTCGGATCTGCATGGTCGCGTATGTGACACTGGTTAGGACCGCGATTATCTGGCATGGAAATATGACTTGCCTCTAGGTTATCGTAGTACTCAGACCGATCCGTAGATTCATCCTTTGTTACTGTTTGTGGAAAAGTAAATGATGCATACAGATATTTCATCCTCTTCCGACGGATCTCCACAGTTCCGCTACAGAAATGCGCAGTTTCTTTGTTGCTCCTGGACAGATATATAGGTGATAAGTAGCTCCAGTCTGGCCCATCATGAACGGGCTCCTCCATAGAGATCGGTCATGGGGCTTTCCTTCCAGCACACAGGACAGTTTCGAGAATAAAGTCTCCTTTCTTCCCAGAAAATGCAACAAGGCTATACATGTAGGACTGGAAGATATTTCTTTTAGAGATGCAGGTCATCGTTTGGATGCGATGCCCTTCTTGATAATTCTACGTGATGTCACGCAGACGCACACTGGAAGGCCGTGGGTACCCCCCCCTCAAACTCCTGACGTGGCTTGCCGCAGAGCGCGTTGGCAGTAGTTGTCTCGCAACCTCGTCGTGGGCAAGGCAAAAAAAAAAAAAAAAAAAAAAAAGGCATGCTCTCGTAGTCTTGTTGTCTTTCAACGTTATCTTCGTTAGGAAGTGGACAATGGTGCAACAGGGAAGGTCAGAACTGGCGAACCGTTGAAGTACCACGCCTTGAAAGGCTAGACATGTGACAGTTAATGGGCGTGGGAATGCTTCAGGTGTGTCCGAGGTCAACCATCACGGGTTCGCGGATACTCTTGCTCGGGTCGCTGACGTCCTCGGGCTCTCCTCCTCCTGCAAGCGGCGACATTGGCTCCCTCTGCTCGGCGAGTCTCAGCGGCAAACCGAGATGGTTCCTCACCTCTACAAGTGCTCGGCGGACCACAGACACATGTTGCTGTAGCGCGGCCTCCATGTGGCGATACAGGCCATCCCTCCGGCCGGTGAAGGGGCACCCCAGGTCGCAAAACTCACACTCGACGACCTGGGCCGGGCAGTGCGGCAAGTGGGCCGGAACATCCTCGCGGCGCAACATGGTGACATCCGTGGAGTCGTGCGGGCTGATGAGGCAATGGTTGGGACAAAAGACGGTGGCGGACGGGCAAGCTTCCACATGGTCGGGCATCGCGCGGAGCAGGACGCGCGCGTCGCACAGTTGGCACTGCGAAAGGCGTTCCGCGCACACGTTCTCGTGGGCGGGCATGCCGATGAGGGGGATATCGCGGCGGGCGCAGACGTGGCAAGTGACGCATCGGAAGTCACACTCGGCTTGGTGGCGCGGCAGGTCGTGGACGGGGCCCTCCCAGCGGCAGCCCAGCGGGTGACGCAGGCGCTTGCGGATGGCACCGACCATGGCCTTCGCGCCGCCCGCGTCGCGGTTCTCGCAGCGGACGGTCAGGCGGGCGATGGTGCGCTGCATAAAGCGGTTGACGGACAGGTCGGCCTCCGTGAGGGAGGCCTGGTCGACCGGGCACGAGGCGTTGTTCTGCAGGCACGTGCGGATGCAGGACAGGCAGAAGACGTGGTCCTCGTGGCAGTTGGTGGGCGAGCTGGGGACGCGATTGCAGATGAAGCAGATTAGCTTTTGCAGGTGATCTTAATCCCGCTTGGGGAGCACGAAACGCTCGCGGTCCATGTGGAGCGAAGGTATGCGGGACGGGGAGGGTAGGGGGGGGGGGGGGATCAGGGAGACAGTGCTCGCCTGGGGTGTGGGGACAGCTTTCAAGCCTGACGCCTGTACTGCTGTATCCAGCATCGGCCCATTTACTCATGGTAGATACACGTCGTACACGTCGTACACGTCGAACACGTGCGTACATATTGAAAAGGCGCACGAGCACACGTCATGCATTGCTGGTGCCACGCGGCCTTCAGAACAAAATGACGACCTTACCGGCCGGCACGCCCTCCTCGGCGACAGCCATTGCCCTGGAGTACTCCTTGACTCCGAAGCTGGGTCCGTGGGGCACGCGTACGTGCGGCAAAAACCTTGCGGCCTCCTTGACGCGGGCGTGCGCGGCGTGGAGCGGCACGGTCGCGGTGCGCACGCGGCGCCTGCGGCACGCCTCGCGCAGCCGCGCCTGCCTACGCGCGCCGTGCAACGCCGCCTGCGGCGCGTGCTCGCCGGCCTGCATGATGCACCCGCCGCGCCGCACCATGCGCGTCAGACGGTGCGCGACGCCCGCCGCGTCGAACGCCACGCGCACGCGCCGCGACCCCAGCGCGGACGACAGCGTCCGCTGCGAACGGTCCACCACGAGCGCGGCGCCGAGCTCTGTGGGT